AATAATAATAATCATTTGCATTTATATAGCGCATATCCATGCTCAAGAGCATGCTCTAGATCTATGCGCTTTACAACATACAAAATGGTGTATTGACAATGTGAAATAAAATTGAATTTGAGAGGTGTGCTGACAAAATGAGTTACTTCTCGGATTTCAGCCTAATGGAAATTGATACATCGACTTTATAGTTGAAGTTTGTACAATTTGTAAGTATGGAATACTAAAAGACAAGGTAGACTTCAAGAAAATGGCGTCAATTGAAAATCTATACATCATGACCCCAGTGTCGGTTTTCGGCTAATATCTCCATTCTTGGATTGTGAGAAGTAACTCATTTTGTCAACACGCCTCACAATTATGGTACACCGTATTGACAATGTGAAATAACTTTCCATTTGTTGAAAGAAAGACAAAAGTAACAATTCAACTTTTATGACCAGAATAGATACCAAAGAGAAATAATTTCAAATTTACATAGATCTATCTACATGGCTGTTATAATAACATAACTCGCATTTTCAACTAAAAAATATTATATCTCCAACATCGTGGAAACTTCACTCTTTTCTAAACGTGGGGGATAATTGTGAGGCAGCGTGGTGGAATCAGGCTCTCTTCAACTTTTGGGCAGATAGAGTTACTGGTATCATCTTAAAGCTTGTTCACTTGTCTTTATTAGGATGAAAAAAAAAATATCGGTTTATCGTAAATACAAGTCGAGACATTTTAGAATGAAGGAGGTGGGGGTCACCTGTTTTCAGAGGCAAAATTAGTAAGAAAATGGCCTCCAAAGATTAGTTATTTTTTAAACTTTAGAGTCCGTGGTAACTGAAAATTTACTTTTTTGTGCCTTTAATCAACATTTTAAAGAAAAACCCACACAGAAATGATATTTTTATGGGCATGAAATGTGTTGAGCCCAAAAAAAAAAAATTGATAAAAATTCACAAACTTGTGGAAAAATGCAAGTTTCTTCTCTTGGATTATTTTGACGACAGCCTGATTCAACTACGCTGCCTCACATATAATATATCAGTGCTTTTAGGAATTTAAGGGTTTGCAAAAATGTGTATCCTGCCAACAAATTTTGAGTTGCTATACTGAGCTTCCTTCCTCTTTCAAGACACTTTAATGCTGCTTTAGAACCCCCCCCCCTTCCCCTTTTCTATCTTCTAAATAATAACCCCCCAAAAAGTGGGTGATTGGCGGGTGCTCTGGTGGTGTGGTTTGCTTCTTCTTTCCTATCAAACATCTATCGTCCTTATCTCCCCTTCTTCTTTTTTATGTTTGTTACTCTCATGTAACAGCTCTAATCTTCTGGCGCTCATATGACCTTATGCAGTTGCAAGCGCCGTAAAACCTCTACTAAACCAAACTAAACCCCAAAATGACGACACCCTCTTACCTCTCCTGGCCAGCAGTGTCCCAAAGCTGTAAAGCTGTAGGCTGAGCATCTACGTCCAACATCTTAGTCTGAAAATCCACGCCTGCGAAGAAAAATTAAATGCGTATTGTACGTAAGTAAGTAATTAAGAGGAAGGAAGGAAGGAAGGGAGGAAGGAAGGAAGGAAGGAAGGAAGGAAGGAAGGAAGGAAGGAAGGAAGAAAGGAAGGAAAGAAGGAAGGAAGAAAGGAAGGAAGGAAGGAAGGAAGGATGGAAGGAAGGAAGGAAGGAAGTGAATTGGTTTAAAGTCCTTATCAACACTATTACGCTACTCAAGAGGCAGGACTTCCAAATTTAACGTCCATCTATCACCTCTCCGACAGCACACAGGCAATTGGGTTGAGAGCCTTGCAAACTCCATAAAACGGGGGGCTGCCCAGTTTGTCACAGGCCCAGTTTGTCACAATTTCATTTAAGTATATGAGTATTGATGACAGTCATCAATACAGCACTTTAACACTGTAGTTGTAACTTAGGTTTTGTTTATTCTCCATCTTCAAATTGGTGGTGTAGACATAGTCCCTCTAAGATTCAATTCATATAATCAATCAATCATTCATTTACTCTTTTTGAGAGAGTCAGTGATAGCTTCCATCATGCAGGGTACAGTCGAGGCCTATGACAAACTGGGTCGTTGACAAACTGGGTTTGTAACAAACTGGGCCAGTGACAAACTGGCATGCTTCCCATAAAAGGGCCCGAGTTCAAGAACACCCAGTCTGGGAATCGAACCAAAGCCATCCACTCCGTAGACCAGCATAGCGCAAACTGAGCTAATCGGGCGCCCATGGAATGAGTGAATATATAATGTGGAAGAGACTTTTCCTTTTGGCCGCGCCATGCACACGTACACACAACAGGAGTTGGACATTGACGATATGAAAAAGTGAGGCGTCGGTACTTTCTTCTTCTTCTTCTTCTTCTTCTATCCCGTGGTGGGGTAACCGTGGGAGCACCACTGCATCTGACAACCAGCTCTCGACATTTCTCTTTGTCCTCTGCTTTCCTCAGATCGTCACCCATCGTCTTCCCTGTCCAACCTGCGATGTAAAACTCCCATCTCCTTCTCTGCCTTTCTCTCTTCCTCAAATGCTCAAATAGACATGGAATTGGAGTATTCTGCTGCCTCTTTCTTGGCGCCTTAAAAGCCAGTGGGTCTTTATTGAAGAAGTAATGTTACAGTCAAGTTACGGGTGTGTGTACTCTAAGAAGTGGGTGGTTGGCAAGTGCTCTGGTGCGGTCTGCTTCTTCTTTCCCATCAAACACTCATCGCTCTTATCTATCCCTCTCTTTTTTCTTTCTTTTCATACTATTCCCTTGTGGCACCTTTTAATCTTCGGTACTTACGTGACCTATTTGTGTTGCAAGTGGTTAGGCTCTCGGACTCGCAACCGTAAGGTTGTGGGTTCGAATCCCATCAATGGCCCGACGTTGTGTCCTTGGGAAAGGCACTTCACACGAATTTTCCTCACTTCACCCAGGTGGGAATGGGTACCCGGCTATAGACAGCGAAAGATCTTGTCAGTTTGTTAGTGTTTGAG